GGGGTGGCGAAGCACTGGTTGTACTGGGAGGTGCTAAGAGGAGCCATCTGCCTGATCCGCCTGCTGCTGGAGGGGCTGTAGGCGAGGGGCAGCTCAGGGGCTGAGCTCCGGTGTGGTTACTCCAAACGGTGCTGCTGCCAGAGTGGGGTTCATGGGATGGTCTTCAGAGCTGGCTGGTGTTTCCCGGTTGTATAGCGCACGTAAGCTGAGCCAGCAAGCACCGGCATGCCCGGCCGGCTGTGGGGAGACCTGCCAGCCCCTTCCAGTGCCTAAAGGGGCTCCAGGAGAGCTGGGGAGCGACTGCATCAGGGAGGGGAGCCATGGCACCAGGGGGAATGGTTCGACACTGACAGAGGGGAGACAGAGATGAGATATTGGGAATAAATTCTCTCCTGCGCGGGTGGTGAGCCCCTGGCACAGGTTGCCCCAAGAAGCTGTGGCTGCCCCATCCCTGGAGCTGTTCAAGGCCAGGTTGGACGGGGCTCTGAGCAACCTGGGCTGGTGGGAGGTGTCCCTGCCCAGGGCAGGGGGTGGACTCAGTGGCCTTTAAGGTCCCTTCAGCCCAAACCCTTCAGTGATTCCATGCTTATAACCCGCCGCGGCCCAGTGAAGGGCCTGCAGGAACCTGCCTTTGTGGGATCCCAGCTTCCAGCTGCATCTGCCTTTGGGGCGAGGAGGGGAAACTGGGCTCTGCTCCTGCTCTGGAACACTGGCCCTGGAGCGGTCGGGCACAAGTTCACCCTTTCCTGCTCACATCACGCCTCCGCACGGCTTCCAGCCACCCCAGGGAAGGGCTGCCAGGCTTTGCCTTCACTTTCCACCCTGCTGAGGGCCAGGAACGCATCCTTCCCCAGCCGCAGAGCTCTGCTGAGCTGCGTCCTCACTCAGCGGGAGTGAGGGACACTGAGGCGGGGGCCAGGACCTTTGCGGGTGGGCTGTCAGGAACCCCGTCTGCCGTCACCCTCAGTCTTGCTCCTTCTCCACCCTCCTGGCAGCTCGTGCGCATCGCAAAAGTGCTGGGGACGGAGGACCTCTATGACTACATCGACAAGTACAACATCGAGCTCGATCCCCGCTTCAACGACATCCTTGGCAGGTGGGTGCCTCCCCGAATCCTCCCTTGGGTGTACCAGCCACGGTATCCTGAGTCCGGCTGCAGAGCCGGAGAGAGGGCAGCGTGGGAGGTGAGCCCGAGGTGCCAGCGGCGGGGTGATGCATCTCTTCTCCTCTGCCTTGCAGACACTCGCGGAAGCGATGGGAGCGCTTTGTGCACAGCGAGAACCAGCACCTCGTGAGCACTGAGGCGCTCGACTTCTTGGACAAGCTGCTGCGTTACGACCACCAGACGCGACTCACTGCCCGGGACGCCATGGAGCACCCGTACTTCTGTATGTCTGCCCGTGCTGTGGTGTGCCACAGCTCCTCAGCGCTGCCGCCGTCCCCTCCCTGCCCTCTGCCCCCTGCCCGCGACCCATCTCCTCCTCGTTGCCGGCTCCTTTCCCCACCTTGTGGGTCTCCTGCTCCTGCTGTGCCCACGGTGCAGCTCCGTCCTCGCCGGCCACCTCCCTGTGCCCATCCCTCCCCTTGTGGGGCTGCTGCCCCATCTCTGCAGGAAGGGGGGAACGGCGAGGCACCAGCGCTCCCCTCAGTGTGCGTGGAGCCCTCACTGACCCCCTTGGCCTTCCCCTCTGCCCCGCAGATCCCATAGCGAAAGACCCGGCAAGGATCGGCACCTCGGCTGGACTCTCGGCCACTAACACACCCGTCAGCTCCTCCAGTATGTTGGCAGGTGAGTGCTGGAGCCCGCGGGGCTCTCACCGGGGGGCGGTCCGGAACCCCCCCAGGACTGAGCATCCCCGGCCTTGAGCTCTCCTGACGTCGCGCGCTCTCTCTCCCCTCTGCAGGCATTACCTCGCTGTCGGCGCCCCAGCCCATTGGCAGCCTGGCTGCATCGCCCATCATCTCCTCTCCCAACACTTTGGGTTCACCGGTCCCCGCTGCAGCCAGCGTCCAGCCCTGAAATTGCCTCTCCACACCCGCCGGCTTCCTGCAACGCCAAGGCTGGTGCCGCCACCTGCCTTCGGCCCTCCCGCCTGCCCTGCGC